AACAGGCCAGCGTGCAGGGGGTGCCAACAGCAAGCCCAGTCCATCAGCAAAAATATATTTAAAAAAACGTGTGCTTGCGTGTGGTGAGTCAAACAGAGGTCCATGATATACCAAGCCTCACACCGTGTGATCAAAAAGGTAATCAAATCAAGTGGCATTGAGATAGCACACGTGGATCAGCCAATATAAAAAATAAATAAAAAACAAAGTTAAAACATGATTGTGTGTGTGCAAGCAAACGTGGAACACCATGCGTCTTAATCATGGCCACTGAAATAAAAAAAATCCAACGCACGCCAGCAAGCCACGTAAGTCATCATCAACATTTGAAATGAGAGGGAAACCAGACGGCGGCCGGAGGGACCTCCAGTCATCTTCTCCAGCCGTATCCTTACTGTAAACAGTAACAACAACACGCAGGTGGAAATATTGCACCAAAATCAGCAAATAAATAACTAAAACTCATCTACGTCTCACATAGAGCACGAATCCATGGTCAAAAAGGCTTAAAAACTCACAACAAAGCCAAATCATGCAAAACAAGTTTGGAGCTCAAAACGACAAACATCATAAACAGCCACGAATGGATACCAGAAATCATCTATGATATGCAAGGATCACAAATATATGAAAATGGCGCAATATGGATGCATAAACAGTGAGATATTTGGATTGGAAAGAAACCTAAATGAAAGCTTCCCCAGAGCTCAGTTCTTTAGTAAAGCTTAAAAGAAACCACCCAGAAACGTTCTATGAACCTCAAGGAACCTTTTTAAATGTTTGGTTTGGATTGAAACTCAGTAGAATGCAAAACATAATTTTGACTTTGCTCTCACTTTTTCTCACTATGTTCTTGACCAATTTCACACCAAAGTCAAATCTGAAAGCTTGTGTCCAATCCTGAAAATAAGTATGATGGATTTGGATTGAAAGAAAGCCCAATTCTATTCTCCTTAAGCCCAATTGAATTTCAAATTTTCTCTTCATGGAAGCTTCCAAAAGTACATAAAAATGCAGCTGCAAGGCTGTCAAGATGGCTCAGCTAGCTTACACCTGATGTGAATTGATCCAAGGGCTGAAAATGGCTCCTCAATTTAATCCAATGGCATGGTTTGTATATGTTACTTAAACTTGAAGTAAGCATGAAAATGGCCATCAAAGTGAGCTCAAATTCCAAATCCAAAATTGGCATTGTGCTTGATATGTATTTGGCACTCAAAAAATGCATAAGGTTGGTACGAAATGATCCCAAATGAATTTAATTTGATTTTCCCCTTTTAAGGCCTTTTTTCATGGAAATTTCTTTAGGAATTCTTCAACCCAAGCCAAACCTTTGATGCCTTGATGTTTGGTTAAGCAAATGACCATATTTGGAGCAAGTTTGAAGTTGGAAAGATTTCCATTTAAAGTGTGCAAAGTGGTGAAATGGACCTATAATGAAAATGACCTGTAATCCTGCTTTCCCAAAATACCCCTGCCTTGCAAGCTTCATAACTTGAGTTCTAGAAATTAGATGAAGGACTTCTAGTACTCTTTGGAAATCTAAGATCGTGAGGAACAAAGTTCATGTTCGCCAAAAGATGAGGAGAAACATCCTTCTAGGTCAAAAATGGCTTGGACGTTGGTTGACGTTTGTTGACCAAAATCACATTCATCTGAGGACCTGTAACTTGTCTGCTTCATAACTTGTGTTCTACAAATCCAATCAAGGACTTCTAGTACTCAAAAGAAAGCTAAAAACATGCTCTACAAGTCTCATGTTTGGGTCAAGATGAGATGAGACTTGTATCTTGAGATAGGTGGTCTTGAAGTTGGGCACTAAACAGGGGATTTTACACTGAGAACCCTAATTTAGTAACTCCTCACACTCTTGATTCTTGATGAATTGATCTTGAAATGATATCTCATGTGTCTCAACACAACATTCCATGACCATAAATACTTGGAACTGAGTCTTAATCTCCTTCAATTTCACAATTGACTTAGGGTTGACCAGATGAAAACCCTAATTGCACCCTCTTCAACTATAGCCACTTGCACTTGGTATAAACACTTGGATGAGCTCCACAATGACCTACAAGTACTCCAATGAGCTTAAATGATAATCTCCCTCCATAGCCATGGGCTTGTGATCCTCAGATGACCTTCAAATGGCCTCCAAGACAGGAGGTGAACCACATACACCTATCTGCCTATCCAAAGGGCTTTGACTTGTCTCTGATGATGATAACCCCCTGTTGACTTGAATACAAACTGACGATTAGGCTTAGAACCCTTGGCAAATTCCTCTTCTTATACACACTTTTCCTGATCCCCTGTAAATGCAAATTGATATGCAATGCAATATGCTAGAACAATGCAAAGAAACAAAAGCCAGCCAAAGAAAAAGGTTGGGCAAATTTTGGGGTGCAACAGTAAGACCCGAAGCATATAGTAGAAAATCCTTGAGTTAAGCATAAATAAGTACCCCAGAGGCTACGAGAAATATCTGAGGGCGATCTTGCATTGTTGCCTCACAAAGCCCTTCCTGCTTTCTATATGCAATACTTTGTCTAGCCCCTCGTAGACAAGACAATTGCTAGCCTGAAAGTTGCTTGATACTAAGTCTATCTTCATTCCCATTGTGACATGTGGAGGCTACCAATGCATTGTATCTAACCACACTGTGGCAAATCGATACGGGTTGCTAAATAGCTTATTATACCATACAAAGGCATATCTGGCTGTTATAGAATCCCCTGCTATTGAACATGAGTAACTATCCAATTCCATAATAGAAAGAGATGGGACTAGTTGGTTTTATTCCTTCACTTAAATCAAGGATCTTAGATCTTGCCACTGTGATCTTTTCTCTTGTTTCAGAAGCTGGGATTGGGCCGAATTTCCTTTCTTAACCAGGCTCAAGGGAAGTTAGAAGTCAAAGAAGCCTTGGTGCCTAGAGAAAATGAGTTATTCTTTCTTTTCTTGCTCGAAGGGTAAGCGGATCTGAGTTAATTCAATCTTTTCAGCACTTTCGAATGATTGTGTTTAACACCCTAACGGTTCTGTTAAAGGGGATTTGTATTACTGTTGAGCTGACTAAACTCAGTTGTCGATTAGCGGGTGCAGGTCAAATGAGGAAAGAAAGAAGAGTTTCGGTACAACCAGATGAAATATCACTTATCATCCAGGCACAAAAACTCAACCAACTGTAGATGCAATATTAATGCATTCTGGGATGAAGGAATAACCGATCTTCCCCACCTCGACTCTCACTCAACCGGTGGAACAGCACCCCGAAACAACGAGAGAAGCCGAAAAAGAGGAACTCGGGGAGCCCTCAGAACCTCAACCGGTTTCGTCAAAAGACAAAGGAAAAGCACCTATCCGGGAGGAAGAGGAGGCCGAGTAAGAAGAGAAGAGGAAGGTCAAACTATCTTCATTCACATGTTTTATTTTTTCTGTTTCACTCAGAAGGAGGAGAAGACGAAAAAGAAGCTACAGAAGAAGAGGAAGCCGAAGATACAGAAAGTCTCCAGCGCACCAATGGGAAACGGGGCCCCCGGAAAGATTCTGATCATAGTCGTTCAGTGCGTCAAGTTGACACTATAGCTACAGGCAAGTGTTTAAGGTCGTGATTTATCATTCAATGGCCTCACAATTTTGATTCCCATGTACAATACGACATCGGGGATTGAACCCGCATGCTATACTGCCAAGCACGAAAGGCGACCTTAAAGACTGGCGGCTAATTCCCGTGACGAAAAGCTAGGCTAGGTTTTATTCCATCTCTAGTTTCATCGGATCATTCATAGATGACATGCTTCTAAAGACTGCTGCTCAACGGCGTACGGCTAACGACAATGCAAGGCCGTGTACTGAAAAGCTGCCACCCAGTATAATGTACCAACGCCTTAATTTAACGGACGCGGCGATGATAGCTACAAAATGTGTCGAGCCTATGTCCTTCCCCATCTAAACGACAATATGGAACAAACTTACCAGATTCTTCCCGAATCTTTTAAGACAAGGAGGGAACAACGTCCCGGTCCGATGTTGGTTTTCCAACTCGATAGAACAGTCTTGCTAAGAGCCCGACTGAACGAGAATATAGCCTCATAGCTGGCATGGCAAAGCGTATCATCCCCTATCTTTATAGCACCCCAGACACCCAATTAATCGTTCCCCGATTTACACCCGAAAGCCTTAAGTTCTACCCGATCATCCCCAGATATAGATGCGTCACACAAGTAACTCTCTCCTGATCCGTGACCAAGACCTAATTTCTTAGGCGGCTTTATTTACGTAAATAAGGAAGGGCATATCAAAATAATAGAAAGGGACGCTTTTAAGCTACGAAAAAAGGAAGTGGCAAAGGGTCTTTTTCGTCTTTATGATGTATAGAATTTATTTAGGATTATACTTGGATTCAGTACTTATTAAGTTAAGCATCGAAGTCGGGACTCTTTCCCTAGAGAGATGGCCTAATTCAAATCACGCCAAGAGAGGTTTAATCTTCTCCTATATCTATATAACATTTTTATTACTCCTCCAATCCGCATTTCCTAAGAGATGACTCCAAACACTCTTACCTTTTTATCCGAGATGGTCAATGAAAGATTCACGATAGTAGGACTAACTTATATCCCCCTTATAGTTAACATAATATTTCATGTAGGTCGCCTTTGGGGGTTAACCGACAAAAATATGGCCGAAAGGCTGGGAGACCTATGTTTTGACACCCTTCGAGAGGAGATTCAAAAACAAATAGAGGGGTTGCTCCAAATATATTTTCATAATGCTCTTGTTCTTCCCCCTTGGAAGAGAATTCAAGACATTGCAACCCACCTTCATCACGATTCCGAGTCTTTGGAGCAACTCTTGACCATTTTGAAGAATCTTACTGAATTAGGTCTACAAAGTCAAGAGTTTCAACAAATTATCCTCTTTCTCTCGCAGTGAAGTCCCGATGGCAAACTATATATAACATTTGAATTTCTCTTGCATTCCACATTTTCGAAATGGATCCTATCAAATATTTTACATTTTCTATGATCATCTCTATTTTAGGTATTCGGGGAATCCTCCTTAATAGACGAAATATTCCTATTATGTCAATGCCAATTGAATCAATGTTATTAGCTATTAATTCTTAGTTTTTGGTATATTCCGTTTCTTCGGATGATACGATAGGTCAATCATTTGCTTCATTGGTTTCAATGGTGGCGGCTGCGGAATCAGCTATTGGGTTAGCCATTTTCGTTATAACTTTCCGAGTCCGAAGGACTATTGCTGTAGAATTTATTAATAGCATTCAAGGTTAAACATGACTCCTAGAGAATTACCAAAATACGAAGTTATCTTTTCTCCTTCCGTTTTCTTCTTTATTTATTTTTTATTTTTACTTGGTTGGCAGGGCAGGGTCGGGGCCTTTATCTCTGGGTGAGCGCATCCGATTTATTCTAAAGTCCTTTCCTAAACCACTTCCCGTTTATTTGCTAAAAGATAGATAGAACCTTTCTAAATGAGATTGAGTTCCACGCATATGCAAGCTAGAAAGATGCTATTTATTGCTATTTCATCTATTTGTGCATTAAGTTCGAATAAGATATCAATCTATAATGAAGAAATGATAGTAGCTCGTTATTTTATAGGCTTCATCATATTCATTCGGAAGAGTTTAGGTAATACTTTCAAAGTAACTCTTGACAGGAGAATCCAGGCTATTCAGGAAGAACCGCAACAATTCCCCAATCCTAACGAAGTAGTTTCTCCGGAATCTAATGAACAACAACAATTACTTAGGATTTGTTTACGAATTTGTGGCACCGTAGTAGAATCATTACCAATGGCATGTTGTGTGCCTAAGTGCAAAAATACAGTGCAAGCTTTGTTATGTCGAAACCTAAATGTTAAGTCAGCAACACTTCCAAATGCCACTTCTTCCCGTCGCATCCGTCTTCAGGATGATCTAGGCAAAAAGTTTCACTTATTAGTTAGGAGGATATTTATCCCCCAATGTATCTCAAAAGCATAAAAAATAGAACTCATTCGAGAGAGCTTGGTGGTCTTAAGAATGGTTCGGGTGGGGGTTCTCTTAATAATAAATAAGACGAATAGAATCTAATGCATGTTTATGCTAACAGAAGAGTGAATCCAATACAAAGACAACTTTTTTCTCATGAAGCAGCTTTGCAAGAAAGGAGTTAGTTCTCTCTGGGGGTTCTGATAGCCAATGCTTCCTACGCTCCAGCCCTTAGCCCTGAACTCCTTAGCACAAGCACTAAGTAAGCTTGTGAAGGAAAGACCTTCAATATCGCATAGCACCTACTAGGACTGAAATTTCGTTTTTGAATAGGACTACTTATTTCTTTTCTGTATGCTAGGGCCACCCGCACGCTTTAAGGGTTGTTGAACATATTGCACTAAGAAAGACTTCTTTCGTTGCGGTCATATTTTCTTTGAAAGCCGCTCAAGCAATTTCTTTAAAGAAGAGCAAGCAAGACAAGATAAGGCTCGAAAGCTGCGAAGAATGTCGAGCTTCTCTAATCAGGATGTGAAATCGGTGTGGTGAGGTATTGGAAGTGTTCAACGAATATAGATAAAGAAACTCAAAAAGAGCATCGTGCTATACTGGCAGAGCTTCAGCAAAACTAGGTAGGTAGCTTTCTCTAATGAGAGATGGATTGGGGGATTATATTAGGTCTCCTAATTAATGGAATTAGTTTTCTCTTGATTAGTTTATTTTTAAAGAAGCATTCTCCCTTTACTCAATCTTTAATTGAATTATCGATAGAGCGTTGATCATTATTAAGGAAGAGATCAAGGATCACAGCAGGATCCTATCTAATCTTTGTCAACACTGGACTCGAAGTCCCCTGCTCAAACAAAAGGGTAATCCTTCGGAATTGAAAATTCCTTTCGGATTTCTTATATTAATTATAGTTGAGGGGAGAAGAATCATTTAAAATTCTATCTATATAGGGGGAGCCATTGTGAAGCCTAGAGAGGCGGAAGTGGAAAATCGCTTCTACTGAGTTCCACAACACTTAGCTTAGTAGCTTAACTCTTTCTACTGGCGTGGCGCTGCTGGATGCTTCTGATCAATAGAACAGGAAGAGGAGGAAAAAAATCTTATGATGAGCATCTGATTGTGGGCATCTTTCGATTGAGTAGGTCAGGAAAGAGGCAACAGGCGATTATCCCCCAACAACGGAAACGCCGCTATTCCTGAGTAGTCGTAGTTAGCGGGAATAAGAGGTTTCACAGGGCTACCTACTTTTCGGCTAGTAACAACTTGCCTAGTTCGAACTCTTCTCTACCAACTCTTGAGGCGTACTACATATCAGTGTGTTCTTGCCCGCTTGGTACTTTGATCCGAAGATCCTAAGCCCCTTCTTCTACCCCTTTCTTTTGGTAGCTACCGATTACTTCACCAAATGGGTCGAAGCTGAGCCATTTAAGGTCTGTCTTCCCGGTTTTCTCAGACGCGAGTCATCTTCTTCATCAGGCTTCCTTCTCGCAGTCGAAGCGGTAGTAGTACTGGAACGAGTTCCCTATTCGATATGGTTTCATTCCACCAGTCCGATAGCACTGGGTCAAAGGGCTTCACTTCGGAACCTTTTCTTGCCCGTGGGCATGAAATTAACTCTGAGGTGACTCTGTCCCTAGCATCCCTTTCAGACCCCCAACTTTATTCACTTTGCGGTAAATGCAATAGCCAGCAGGTCAAAGCCTGGGGTCCAAGGGCCACCTACTACCCAATTCCTGTCTTCGGAACTATGGAGATAGGTTACTTTTTTCGATGGCCCTCCATCTCGTTGGGAAAAGTTAAAGGTGAAAGTACAGAGTATGCCTAAGAGGGGGGGGGGGGGTGAATTAGGACTTTAGAAATTTTTCCGGTTTTTTATGGTTTCTTGAAATTTTACTGGTTTATGTTCTTGGTCATGAAAGCAAAAGAAAGTAAAAGAACAATGGACACCAGGATTTATAGTGGTTCCCCTCACAATCCGAGAGTACTCCACTCCCCTTTCAACACGAAAGAGAGTTTTCACTATTGTTTAATAAAGTACAACCTATCACACCATCAAACAGTGAGGCCTACTATCAAACAATAAAACTAACAAGTGTACAAGAACAATCCTTTTGTAAACACTCACCCTTGTATCCAACAATCCTGGATCACAAGTCAGAATACAAATACTTGTAAAGATTTTTGTTTTGAGAATAATACATTCAATTAAAGTTGATCTTCTCCAAATGATCAAAATTCACTCTTACAATTTTCAACACAAGTGTTCAAAGATGAATATGAAATTTTATGCACATATGAACACTTAATAAAAGATTTTGAAAATGATGAATTTGATTCTAAGAAAATTTGAAAATGAATGTAGAAAGTGTTTGGAGATTGGAGGTTTTTGTGTGTATTTTTCAAAATTGAAAAACTCAGAATTTATATGAGTAAAATACCCTTTCAAAAAGGTATATTTGAGTAGATTTAAAAAATATGAAATGGTGTAATTTTCAAACAATTTTTGAACTTAAAACAAAGCCATTTTTCACTGTACGTTCAGTGTTAATCGGTTAACACTGGAACGTTAGCCCATATTATTTAAAATTTGAAATGGTTAACCGGTTAACCTATATGGTTAATCGGTTAACACTGCTATTTTTTCAGAAAAATGCTTTAAAAATAAATGCTATACCAATTTTAAAGTTCCAAAAACATGCTCATGTATTATGCTAAAATGCTTAATGTTTTTGAACACTTGTATATCAATTATAAGGGTGGAATTTGATATACCCGCAATGCATCCAAGTCTTGAAGAATCATAGTTCCATATGTAGCTTGACTTGAAAGATAACTTGACTTGAAAGATAGCTTGACTTGATCTTGATAACTTTGAAAGGCTTGTCTTTTTGCAATCAAGAGATGACCTTGAGTAGTGTTGACATCATCAAAACTTGAGACTAAAGCATGGTTCTACATTCTCCCCCTTTTTGATGATGGCAATCAAAAAATGTTGTGCGATATCTCTTGGTTCTTGATATGTTTCTCCCCCTATGTCTAGCAACTCCCCCTATCTTAACAGAGGAAAAAATCTGCACACAGAGAGACATTAACAGAACCAAGCTCTTCTCCCCCTTTGACATCAGCAAAAAGGAAGAGCTTTCAAAGAAAACACAAGATAGCAGCATATATAGTAATAAGCACATGCAAAGCCAAATAAACACATAGCATAAGAAGTAGTACATATAAAATGCAGCAAATAGAGATTGTACTTGTTACAATAAAACATAGTTCAAAAGGAAGCATAAAACTTAAGACTAGAAAGCAAAGCAATAAAACAACATCAGTAACATATTCTCTAAGAATCCTCATCCGCCATATCCTCCTCCTCTTCTTCTTCATCACTATCAATCTCTTCGTCCACAACTCGGGTGTTGGAATGTGGAGGGTTAAGAATGAGGTTTCTGAGAGAGGCAATTGCTCGGGAGGTTTCTCTATGCATATTCATCGACTCTCGATGCTGGTTCATCATGGTTGTATAGAGAAACTCACTAGTAAGACCCCCTTCAGGCATTGGATATGCGTGATGGACAGGACCGTCATCGGTATACCTGTATGTTCCGTCAGCTGCTTTGATGATTCCAGTATTCTTCACAATGTTAATCTCATTGATCTCATTAGTTGTAGGTTTCATCTTGGAGGATGGTTCTCTGTTGAGGTCAAGTTCAGTTAATTCCAGAATTCTTGAAACCAAACGAGCATACGGCAGCCGGGTAATGCAATGAAGTTGTTGTTTACCGGCATAAGTTGACGAACACGAACTTTGAAATCCATCCGCCTCTTTTTGGTGGTTTCCATTGGAATGTTGTCGTCATCAGATTCGGATGCAGAATGATGTTCTGGTAGTTTTCCCTTGCCGCGATTTGATGCTGAAGCCATGGATGAAGGTTTGAGAGAACTGAGGTTGTGGGTTCTGAGGAAGTTAGGGTTTAAGAAGTTGTGGGGAGTTTTCCAACTTTAGAGAGTGGGAGAGAGAAGTTAGGGTTTGAAGAGGGAATATGGATTTTGGATATGGATTTGGATATATGAGAGAATATGGACCACATAAAAATACATTTAAAATATATAAAATTTTCAAAAATATAATTAATTTTCGTTTCTGATTTTTAGAAAATTTAACAGTGTTAATCGGTTAACCATATAGGTTAATCGGTTAACACATTAAAAAATTGAATCAGAACTGAAAATTCAACAGTGTTAATCGGTTAACCCATATGGTTAATCGGTTAACACACTCGAATTTTTGAAAAA